TTAAGATACAGATATATACATTAGTGCATTCATGTACTAATGTTTTGGCATAAACATATACCCATATACCAACTCTTAATAATATTAGTGCTAGTGTTTGCTGTGATAGTATATATGCCAGTATTAGTAAATATAAATTAGTGTCAGTGCTCATGCTCGTGTTAGAGTTAGCGCTAGTGCCAGTGTCAATGTCAGTAATACAGCACCACTGCTAGTATCAGTGTCAGTCTTAATGTTGGGTTTAATCGCAGCTTATATTCGCAGAAGTGCTAGTATTAGTATCAATACTAGAACTAGTTTTGATATGCTAGTATATTGATAGTTTCGTATAGTAGCAGACTAGTATATCAATATATTATTAATGCATTCGAACAGTAACATATTTGTATACTTGTATACTTGTATATTTGATATGGTAGTACAACTGGTGCACGAGTACACTAGTATATTGGTGTATTGGTTTACTAGTATGTGTGCTATATTCATGTATTGTCTAGTCATATTTACAAGTATATCAGTATGTTGGCATATTAGTCTACTAATTTGTCATGTCGGTATACTTGCATGTTGCACTAGTCGTATATTAGTATACTCGCATATTAATAATATCGATATTTCCACAAAACTATCACGTAACTCATGTGCCGCGCGTCTGGTGCATGCGTCCTCAGTACATGGTATGTCAAAGTATATGTTGTATATCTACTGCAAATGTTTTACTTTACAGATTGTCGTCGGGTGTGGTGTGCTTTGATACAATATCTCAAGGAATTGGTGGCATCGAGAGCATCTTGCAAGGATATGTCACCCCCGTCGCGGATCATGCTGGAAAAGAGGAAAAGAGGGACACAAACGATGACTTTCACTCGGGAGAGAACTGCAACGGATATGTCGTGGAACATACGGCACCTTGACATGGCATTAAAACAAAGCATATGCCATGTGTATACACGTGACAAACAAAGACATAATAGGATCACAGCATCCAAGGTTAGCAAATGCCGCCTGGCTCGAAAATCCCCAAAATTTGTAAAGCCTGAAATGCGAAAACATCGGCAGGGATCAAAAATCCCCAAAATTCCCAAAATAGTGGCATCTATGGGGCCATGGGTGTTTAGTTTTGCAAAACTTTGGGGATTTTCGAGCCTGGCAATGTTTTAGCATCCGACTTTGACGAAATGCCGCCAGGCTCGAAAATCCCCAAAATTTGTAAAGCCTGAAATGCGAAAACACTGGCAGGGATCAAAAATCCCCAAAATTCCCAAAATCCTGGCAACTATGCGGAGTGAGGGGCCATAGTCTTTGACATTTTGGTGATTTTGGGGATTTTTGATCCCTGCCAGTGTTTTCGCACTTCAGGCTTCAGGAATTTTGGGGATTTTCGAGCCTGGCAGTGTTTTAGCATCCGACGTTGGCGAAATGCCGCCAGGCTCGAAAATCCCCAAAATTTGTAAAGCCTGAAATGCGAAAACACTGGCAGGGATCAAAAATCCCCAAAATTCCCAAAATCCTGGCAACTATGCGGAGTGCGGGGCCATAGTCTCTCACGTTTTGGGGATTTTGGGGATTTTTGATCCCTGCCAGTGTTTTCGCACTTGAGGCTTCAGGAATTTTGGGGATTTTCGAGCCAGGCAGTGTTTTAGCATCCGACGTTGACGAAACGCCGCCAGGCTCGAAAATCCCCAAAATTTGTAAAGCCTGAAATGCGAAAACACTGGCAGGGATCAAAAATCCCCAAAATTCCCAAAATCCTGGCAACTATGCGGAGTGCGGTGCCATAGTCTCTCACATTTTGGGGATTTTGGTGATTTTTGATCCCTGCCAGTGTTTTCGCACTTGAGGCTTCAGGAATTTTGGGGATTTTCGAGCCTGGCAGTGTTTCAGCATCCGAAGCTGCCCACCTCCCATGATCCACTGCTTACCAAAAGCAAGCATAGTATGGATCATGGGGGGGGGGGGGCGTAAGCATATATATATATATATATATATATGTATCGATCTATATGGTTCAGGGTGTATACATAATCGTGTGGCTTCTCTCCAAAGCAGGAGCCGGATTGGCAATGGGTGCTCCTGTGTGATATCACATCTACGAAAACTTAAGTACGTCCACATATACATTATCATGCGAATACACATGCATGTCCTTCACGAACCTCTGCGAGCACGTCGTTCAAGTTCTGGTTGGTATCCAAAAGCTTTTCTTGCCGAGCTTGCGATTCTGCCAGGGAGGCTTCAAGATCTGCCATCCGGGCTTGTGATGCCTTACCCACATGCGTGCGACAAGCTATAAATGCTCATGATGAATTGCAGCCCGGCAAACGTGATGCAAGCTTCAAGTTCGGCCTCAATCATCGAATCCATAACGGATTCGCAACTGCCGTTCAGCCCACCGTGGCCACTACACGAAGCCCAAAATGTGCGATTGCATGCCTGCCACACACGGATCACCTGCTGCTGGCTATCAAAAATCCAAAAAACATGCGGCAAATGTGATTTCCATGAGCGACGAGGAGCCTAAAGGTATGTTTTTTAAATTGCGTGCGTGTTGCTGGGATTTGCGTGCGTGTTGCGGGTATTTGCGTGCGTGTTGCGGGGCCTCGGGTCCACCTAAAAAGTACAAAAAACAAAAAACATGCGAAAAAACAAAAAACATGAGTCAGGTTTGGTTTGGTTGCCTGCAACCCTGTTCGTCTCTGGCGAAACCCATGGAATTTCTGTTTGTGGCCTTCTGGGGCCTCTTGGGGCCTCTTGGGGTCTCTGCGTACCGGGAGCCTGGTATTTGGGCCTGGGTACTAGCTTAATTCAGAAGGGAAAGACTCTCATGCATCGAGGAGTTGAAGGAAGTGACCCAAGAGGCTTTTGCGAACAGGGTCTTGGGTCACTTGTCCACACCCTCCCGAAACCACCCCACACCCATTCTGAACACAGGGGCCCAGCATCATGAGCATCACCCGGGATTTGTGGGCATAGGGAGGCCAATTTGCGGCTGGTTGGGTGGAGTTGAAGGACCGTTGCAGGATGGCAACATCGTGGTCACCAAGCACGTTCTTCCGAATGACTTCCACAAAAATCTAAATAAATATATGTAGGTTTGTTTATTGTCTGCTACATATCGATATGCATATGTATATATATATATATATACACACATATGTATGTATAACGGTTGTATACCCAGATAGAGACTTACACACGAAGTCGAAGTCCTAAGTAGCTAGGCGAACCATCATGTGTATGCCGCGGAGCCTCCAAGCAGCAGCAATCTCGATTTCAACGCGTTTCTCCAAAATCCATGCGTGACTGGTTTGGGACCCGATTTAAGCGCTCTTTTAAGGGTTTCCCAGCGTTTCTCTATGATCATGGAAAAAACCCTTACGGAGGAGCGCCTAGGCAAGGGTCCAAGTACCTAATAATCATATACTCTCCAAAATCCTAACCTACATAACTACTATCCTGAAACCGAGTACCTAATTATTGGGTCCTTTGGACCCTCGGGGTAAGTACAATCAGCGCCCAATACTCCATTCAGAACCCTCTGCAAGAAAACACCGAGAAAAACATCAAACTAACCGCAACATGTCCGAAGGTTATGGCTTCTCTTCTGGCAGCAGAAACTGCACAGCTGCACTGAAGGTGATCCTCCGATGGGGGGGCCTTAGCAGTTTCAGGGCTTAGGGGTTAGGTTGAACCAGGGGTCTAATACAGAGGCTTTCGTAATTGGATCAGGGTTCCTGTAAGGGTTCCATAACGGCTACTATAAGGGTTCTATAGTTTTGGGGCCTTAGTAATGAAATCAGGGTGTTGGGGTTAAAGAAAGGGTTTCCCTTTACTTCTCTGGGATCCATAATCAACTAGAAAATCGTGTTGGGGGCAAGGTAAGTATATGTTTATAAGAATGAAACCCTAAGGAATTGTCGTGTAGTTCTTCTGTATTTGAGTTTGCGGACCTTTCTGTCGGGGGTTTAGGGTGTGTGAGGTTTAGAGGTTTGGGGGTTGAGGGGCTTAAGGTTTAATGTATAGGGACCTGGTTAAGAAACCCTTGGCCTATAACCCCAAAAGAGTAGGATTCATAATTCATATAAGGAACCCGAATAAAGGCCCATGGTTTCTTGATCAGCTTCCTACATTAGGTGTTTGGGCCTTTTGCTTATGGCTTCAGGCTGAGACTTGCGCTTCGTCCCCCTCTTCTAATGCCCTCGATTTCAGACCTAACTCTGGTGATGCGGCCATGCATCCTAGTCTACGCTTTTGGAGGCTTTGTGTGGCTTCCAGAACCCTAAATCCCTAAACTCGAGTCCTTACTTAACGGCAAATGCCCCTCAGCTATGTAGTATTGTCCCTAAACCCTTCAATTCCAAACCCTTAAATCCTAACCCCCTAACTAAACCCTGGACCCCAAACTCCTGAACTTTTGAACCCCAAAGCCCCAGGCCCTAGACCCCTGAAGACGACAGCCCTAAACCCTAACCCCCAAGGGTCCAAGAACCTAAGAGTCATATGCTCTCCAAAATCCTAACCTACATAACTACTATCCTAAAACCGAGTACCTAATTTAATTATTGGGTCCTTTGGAGCCTTGGGGTAAACCCCAAACCCACTGAACAAGAAGTGGTGTAGTGTCCTCGCCTCTCAGACCAACGCCCGATGTTGAGCGATGGAGTGTGTGTTGTCTCTCTGAGGATAGTGGTCTTTGGGTTTAGGATTTAGGGTTTAGAGTTTAGGGTTTAGTTAGGGGTCTTTGGGTTCAGGATTCAGGGTTTTGGGTTTATGGTTTTAGGATGTAGGATTTAGGGTTTCGTTAGGTGTCTTTGGGGTGAGTGTGAGGTTTCTTTGAGGTAGCCATAAGGTTATGCCGTCTCCGGTGGCATCAGGGTGTCATCAGGAAACATCGCAGCTTGAGGTTACCACACCGCTCCTTTGAGACTACTAGGAGGGTTAGTATAAAGGCTCCCAGGGTTAGTATAAAGGCTCCCATTTGTTGGAGAATTCCGTCGCAGATGAAGAGTACAACAAGTACAACCACAACCACGCCCTCGACTACGACAACCACGACGTCACAGGAGGAGGCCTGCATGCAACAGTTTACAACCCTCGCAGCCCAAAGGACTTAATTAGGTAATACAGGGGCCTTAATAGCTACCTAAAACTATTTTGGGGCTTCCTTATTACAAGGAGAGTATAACGGGTCCCAAAACCCTATTCTAATTATTCAGCCCTCCATATTATTTGGGTGTAGGATCGGAGAGTAGTACTGTAGGTTAGAATGTGGCAGAGTTTTGATGATTAGGCACTTGGACCCTTAGTGCGCCCAGGCCTTCCAAACCACTTGGCTAAAATGGGATACCTTAAGTCATATAGGGGATCCTACTACATATTACTTGTGGCACATTCCTTAATTAAGGGATTTGGAAAGGCTGATATGCTTTAGACAGCAGGCAAATCTGAGGTGTCCAGTGGCAAGGCATTTATGCTTAATCGTACCTTGGGTGCCTGATTCTCTTGTTCCAGTGCAGGCTGTGGCAATGAGCTGATCAAGTTTGACTTTTTGGGATCAGTTTAGGTTGCTTCGCTAACTGTCAAGGACGGCATGTTCCGGTTGAGCTGCTGCTTTGCGTCTTTTCGAATCAATAATCTAACTAAGAAGTGTCAGGGACCGCCGGCACAGCCACGTCGTCTCTCCTCCTATGACGATTTGGGCTCCGACTACGCCTATGGGTGCTTGGGCAGATGTTTAGCATGCGCCCCAGCCCTCAATCCCGACAACTTCCGACAACAACAATGCTTTATGGTTCAGGGTTCAAGTGGTTTAGGCTTCAGAGTGTAGTGTTTAGGTGTCGGGCTTTAGGGACTCAAGTTGAAGAAAGATGCCCTGATGACATGGCCACAATCCGTGCAAACCCTTGTCACAGACCCAAAAGCATCAACCGGGGTCAGCCTGCTACAGGGTTGTAGCTCGCCCTTGGCGCCGAGTTGCTTACTGCACAATCGGTGTTCCATATACCGTGTATTCACCTTAGAGTATGTGAATCATAGTAATTAGCCCAGTATATGGGGGGGTTGCCGAAAACAGTGGACCCTAATATTGTAATTACCCTAATAGTAGGATCCTTATTATGAGGACCCAAAATAAGGTACCCCTAATGTTCAGAAACTTCCATATAGGTAGCTGGAAGCTGGTGAACAGAGTCGGGTCAGCACCGAGGTCTTTGATGCACATGCCTATGTTCGAGTGGCACGACCAGGTGCAAGACATATACTTGGGGCTCGGGGTTCAGAACCTGCAGGTATCTATAGTCTTCGTTTGTGGGTCACCTTCTGGGATCCTGTATATAGCATGGGTTAAGCCCGAAGAGGAGGTACACTATAGCCTGCTGGTATCCTAGAAACTCTACAATCTGGAGCTCATACGTTCTGAGCCCGGAGCCGCAAGCCGCGTTAGCCCTGAGCCCTCAACGCTACTGCCTCGGATGCCCAGTAGTACCCTTGTTCCCTTTTTGCAGTCCTAGGTTCCTTATAAAGTTACCCAATACCAAAAAGAGAGGCCTTTTTATTCTTAGGTTACTGGGTATCCTAGCTGCTTAAGACTCCAAACCTTGAACCCGACAGCCCTCGGGGTGTCCCGGGGTTTGGGATGAGGGCTTTGAGTCACCCACACCTACAGCTAGGACCCAGAGCAAGCCCTTATTCCCGTTTTTTGGCATACAGATTCCTTTAAAACCCCCTATAAACCAAAAAGGGCACCCTTTTATTACTCGGTTACCCATAGGTCTAGACAGAGATTTTCCTCATTGATACATGTTCAGTTCCGGCATTTGCTCGCTTTGTCTTAACCCCATAAGCCCTAAGTTCCTTAATCCTGACTTCCTAAAGCATTACCATACGACCCTTGATGATTAGATATGCTATTTTGACGGGTTCCTTAATTACTATAAGTATAGTATAACGGGGCCCCAAAACCCTAGTCTAAGGAATAAAGCCCCTGTATCATCGTACCCTTATAGTAGCCCTTATAGGACCTTTTTAAAGGAACCCTTAAGGAAGGAACCCTACTCTATCCATTAAGCCCCCTATTTCTTTAGCGCCCTGCAGCCTTCGCTCTTCTTTCATCTCTGCAGGAAAGCGAGAGGCGACGGGAGCAGAAGGGGGAGAGCTGCCGCATCCACGGCCACTTCGATGTGAACAGGCTGGCGGTAGGGTAATGTAGGAACCCGATTAAGAACCCTGGGCCCTATAACCCCAAAATAGTAGGAGCCATATAAGGGTACCTACCTTGTAGTACCTGCCTAGTAGTACCTACCTTGTAGTACCTACATGTAGGGATTGATTAGGGGTTCAGGGCTTAAGGAGTTTTAGGGTACCTTGAACAGGCGAGTTTTCGGGTACCATGTTCCTGCGAAACCCTCATGCTGAACACGCGCCCCAAGTTACCTGCTAGTCGTCAACCATCATCAGAGCATGCAGCCCGTGCGTGTAGCTGTCAAGTGCGACGGCCGAGACTTGAAATGGGGGAGCTCCTGCTGCTTACAGGGTTTAGGGTTTAGGGTTTAGGGTTTAGGGTTTAGGGTTTAGGGACCTTTCGGGGCCAGGCATCATGAATTCGACAGCTTTCAATGATGGGATTTTGGTCTAGGATGCAGGCAGCCCGTCTCGGGTTTATGCTAACCGAGCTGATGTTCTTCGGTTGATGACATAAAAATCCTGCATTACCCATAATAAGGAATATACCATAAGTCCCATAGTCCAGGGCCATTGAGGTACTGCGGGATTTTTTATCATCAACCGTTGCAGAGGCAGTTGTAGGTGGATGGCATAGGACCTAGGAGTTCCTCTCCTGCACTGCTTCGGTTGCAGGGTTCCTGGCAACTTCCACATCGGCACTCATGGCGCCTCCGTTCCATCGTGGCTGGGCTATCAGCTCTTGATTTCTAGGGCCTGCTTACCTAGGGGGCCAAGCATCCAGCTTCAGGCCCCAACTACGGTAATTACTCCGTATAGGCTTAGTCTTCATTTGAGCACTTGGGCCCCAGGCTCCGTAAAGAGCAGCACCACATCCTCTTGGAGTGGCCAGGTTTTCGCACATATCCAAACCCGGAAACCCTGCAGCATACATTCCCAAGCCCTGAACCCCTTCACCCCTAAGCTCTGGACCTTCTCACGATGGCTTCTTTTCCCCATATAGATAGTGTCCTAACGGAGGACCTATACAGTAGAAAGTAGTGTTTCTATAGTACCTAAACCCCCAAAGGTATGTAAAATTGTGGCCCAACACCTATAAACGGCCATGATTCTACATACTGTTGGGCTCCAGGTAGGACCTGTTAAGAACATATTAGTTATCAACACAACATTTATAAACCCTAAACCCTAAACCCATTATCATGGTCTGGATGCGTATCACCTGTCATCCCAAGTCGTGCTACTCGGGCTAAGCAGTCCCGAGGGCTCGGCAACCACGAAGAGCGACCCTTAGGGTTTTGTGGTATAGCGTTCAGGGCTTAGAGTTTTGGGCTCAGTGTTTCGGGGTTTAGGGTTTAGTACTTATTTTTTCTCCCTTTCTAGGTGACCCTTTGTAGCAGGATCCTCAATATAAGATGCTCCCTCAACAGTCACAGCAGGTTTCGGAAAGCCCCACGTGAAGGTCATGACAGATCCACAATGTGACCGTTTGCCTCCGATAGTGTTGTCGAACCTACGCAACTTCAAGGTTACCCCAGGCAAGAGCTAGGGCTTGAGGTCTTCTAAGGGTCCGTGCTTGAGGTCAGGGTCTAAGCCTAAGCTTTAGTACAGGGGTCGGAATTATTTTCATAGCAATTGTCCTGTAAATTGGAGCTCCCATAATACTATATATAGACTATAACTTAATTACCCCAAAACCCTTCCATAGCATCTTTTGGAGCTCCCATAATACTATAACTTACCCCAAAATCGCCCTTTCCCAACGATTGCAATGCCCTAAACCCTAAACCCTAAACCCCTAAACCCTAAACCCCTAAACCCTAAACCTGGGTGGACAGGGGCTCGCCGAGGTACTTGACATTCTACGATGAGCCGTCCCCTCCACAGCAGAATATGCGGTGCGCCAGCTTCAAGTGCGTTTTTTGCTGGGCCACGGTCTAAAGCCTAAAGGCTCCATGTACCCATATAGTAGGTACTTAGGCCTCATAGGTGTCCCTATATAGGTACTTTAAGGCCTAAGTTCCTACTATATGGGTATATGGAGCCTTAGGGAAAGGTTTAGGGTTTGCGGGTTTGGATGTCTACAGGGGGGGGTTAGGGGTTTCGGGTTGAGGGTTGAGGATTTCGATTTAGGGTTTGGGGTAGCCACAGGGAAAGCCAACAGAAGCCACTCCAGTGTCAATTCGGTTTACAGCTAGGTCACGGCAGGCTACTTCGTAAACCGGCAGGCTGTATAGCTGCTGGCAGTTTCGTGGGAAACTGCAACGCAAGTAGCCTTCTCTGGCGCTTTAAACCCCAAGCCCTCAACCGTAAACCGCTCAACCTGAAGCCCCACGCCCTAAACCGCAGGCTTTGTTTTTTCGGAGTATTCGGATGCCTCACTTGAAGGACGTAGCACGTAGGCATTTTACCGAGTTGTAATTATCATTACCCCACTTGGGATCGATTCTGGCGTGCTGATAAGTCTACTTACTACCTACATACTAAGTCCCCGACCCTCCAAGTAAGACCCGAAAACCTGGATCGTCAGCCTATCAGATCACCTGGACCGTCAAGCCAGAGAAGCCAAATCCCAAACCTTATGTTACCAAGCCCTCCAAAGCAGGCACACCATCCACAAGTTGGCCTTTGTGGACACCGTGGAAAACTTTTTCGTGGACCTGAAGCAGCCCATTGACAGCTCCTTCGGCCGACAAACAGCCCGAGAGTGTTAGAATGGTTCAGGGTTTAGGGTTTACGGGTTTAGGGTTTAAGGTGTTCTGTATGCTAGCTATGATGCTGTTTGACCATCTTGAAGCACAGGTGTGCATACAAGTTGGAGAGATGTAATGCCCAGCATGCCGGGTGCTACACTGCAGTTTGAGACTAGCGATCCTGTTGACGAGGTATCTGCGCGCGACCTCCCAAAACTTCTCTTGGCCTCAGACTCCGCAGAAAGCACCAACCGCCCCAAACACCACACCATAAGCCCTTTCAGTCCTTTTCGTTGGAAAGCCCTAAAAACCACCTCAAACATTGAACCCGTCAAGAACACTCCTATGCGAAGCCCTAGATAATCCCCAAACCCCAACTCCCTAAAGTCCTCTGCGCCAAACCCCTTAACCCTGAGTCCGAAACCACCAACCCCTAAGTCCCGAAACTCGAACCCTAAAGATTTCAATCAACTCCTAAACTCAAATCTCCTTGACCCTAAACCCTAAAAACCCCCAAAGCCCCCAACACCTAACCATTGAATCCCCATAATAACCCCATGTCCTCCACACCTACACCCTTCAACCCGTAAGTATAAGCCCCAAACTCCTAAACCCCGCATCCTGCAACCTTAAACACCCCTACGTCCTCAACTCCTAACTTGCCCCCTAAACCCTTAGTACACACCCCCAAACTCCCAAACCCTACATCCTGCAACCCTTAAGCCCCATGCAGACAAAAAACCCTCAACCATACCTACACCGTAAACCCTACATCCAGCAAACTTAAAACAAACCATATTCAAGACGATGCCACCTAAACCCTAAACCCAAAACCCTAAACCCTAAACCCTAAACTCCTAAAGCCGTGCAGAGTGGAGACAGAGTCGCTGCAATTGAAAAAAACCCTAACCCTAAGGGTCCAAGTACTCCCCATTTTAGGACTTTGGAATCGGTTTAGGGTTTAGGGTTTAGGGTTTTGGGTTTTGGGTTTTGGGTTTAGGGTTTAGGGATCATTTTGGGTACCCAAAACCATAAATAAGGACTACTTGGACCCTTAGGGTAAAGCCACCGCCTCTCTTCACAATCTCCCGTCGCAGAGGCTTCGAAAGCCCGAGAGCCTTCACCTTCCAGCCCCGGACTCAGGGTTTTCCCTGACATGCCCAAAGGGCCCTAGGCACTGTTATGGGGGATACTTCCCTGGATCATAATAGTAGATCCTAATATCCTACATTCTACTATATAGGTACTTTGGACCCTTTGGGATGCACTGATTGGCTGTAAACTCAACTTTTCAACTTTTGGGGTTCTTACAAGGTAGTCGATTCTGAAAGTCTCAAATTTTGCTTCCTGGGGTTTTGGGCCAGTGAGTACAGGAAACCTCCCTTTTTGCCCAGAGAGCCCAATACCCCTCAATTAAGGAATATAGCTAAAATCATAATATGAAAGCCCCTTATAATTTGAGGTATATTCCTGAATTAAGGGGTATTGGGCTCTCCGAATCCAGGGTCCCTATGAATCTCAATGCTAGGGTTTGTGAAAGAGCCTACAGAACAGTCAGTTATGCTAGCTTAAGGTAGGGTTTGGGGATTTAGGGCTTAGGGGTGTTGAGTTATTCATTTGAAACCGAAACCCCTAAACCCAAAATTTTAGGGTTTAGAGCTCAGGGATTTGCGGAGTTCGGTTTTCGGGTTTCGGAGGTTTTGGATGCGCTTTAAAGGAGCCCTAAACCATAAATGATTCAACTTTGTGGGTTACAGGATTTATAGGGGTTATATGTCTTGAGTCTTGAGGTAAGTCCTTACAGGCTTGAAGGTTTGGGGTAAGCTTTCATCAGCAGTTTACACCGACGCCATAAATTTCTCAACTATATTCGAGCTCCTCGCATATCATCTGACCCCGGTAGTCTTCACCACTGGCCAGTGCAAACTTGATTGCGCTCGGCACACAGTGTGAACAGTTGGAGTCGGGGAGTTGGGCACGTACCGTACCAGCTGCAGTCGGGGAGTTGGGCAGGTACCGTACCGTCAAGCGTAAGCTCCAAGCCGTGGACCCACAACCTTCAACCGCAAACTGCAACAAGACTGCTCGGAGCTCAGGTACTATCTGATGATAACACCAGTCAGCATTGAGAATGCGACCTGCCTGCAAGTAGTACAGCGCACGAACCCTGTGGCTTGTTTCCCCAAAGCTCACTAACCCTAACCCCTCATGCCGTACAATCCTCAAATCCCGCAAGCAGTACATCCCTGGGCCTTAAACCCTAATCGGAAACTGTAAACCCCCCTACGGTTGATGATATAAATCTTGCGCTACCCATAATCAGGAATATACCATAATTTCCATAGTTTAGGGTCCTTAAGGTAATGCAGGATTATATTATACCATCAACCCTAGTAAACTTTGACAGGAGGTCCTGCGAATTCACCCCGCAGGTCCCCCACCACCTGTGGCGGAGAAGGTCAAGCCCTGACCCCTTCCCAGAGACTCCAATACGCATTAATTAAGGAATATACTTTAAATTATAGTAGGATCCTTAATATGATTTACAGAATATTCCTTAATTAAGGGGTATTGTAGTCTCTGGGTTCCCTGCCATCAGACTTTGGACCGTCTTGGAGGGTCGGGGGACTTAGTATGGGGGCTCCTTTAAAGGGGATTCTAAGGGTTCCTTTAAAGGGCTCTATAAGGGTACTATAGGGTTTAGGGACTTAGTAAGTAGGTAGTAAGTAGACTTATAAGTACCCTAAAAGTGCCATTAGTCCAAAGCACACAAAGTGCCTGCGACCCTGAATCATCATATCCTACCAAGCCGAAAACTGAAGCCCCTAAACCCTACCCAACTTTCCGAAACCTAATCCTACGGTTTTTTTTCAGGTTCATCGATATCCCATGAGACCTTTCCCATGAGACCCGAAACCCTACGCGCGACTTGAACCCTAACCCGAGAAGGTTGGGCTTGCTTGATAAGGTTTCTGTATACTCGTCCTCAGAGCTGCATGTTCCTTTTGGCGGGAGTTCAGGTAATACAAAATTATCAGGAGCCTAATTTTTAGAATAGGGTTTTGGGGTATGTTATACCATACCTATAACAGGGCACCATCCAAAATATGATTGGTGGTTATTGGGGCCCCTATGTTAAACCCTAAACCTAAATCAAATTCCTAAACTCTCGCAACCCTAAACCCTGAACCTTTAAACCTCTGAAAAACCCCCAACCCTAAACCATCCTAAACCCTAAAACCCTAAGGCTCTAAACCATCCTAAACCCTAAAACCTTAAGCCCTCTAAACCATCCTAGACCATCCCAGACGTATGCCCTATGAGGCGAAAGGACCAGCTTCTTACGGCTACCGGTCGCTCGGCAGAAGATGTTGGGGGCCTTGCTCCGGGAAGCCCCTTAAACTCCTTTAAAGGGTTCTATAAAGCGGATCTATAAGGGGTTTAGGGGAAGCCAAACCCTCAGATTGCAAGTAAAACAGTACCTACTTTGGGGGTTTAAAGTCCATAAATGGCACCTATATGTTGGGCTATGTGGAGCCTTAGGGAAACAACATACAGTAGCCACGAAAATAACAGTGCCACATGCCAAACCGTCAGTATAAAAGCAACACCACCATCAGCAGCATCAACAGCGATGGCCAAAATAGCTGTAGCAATGCCCCAAGCAGCAAAGTGTGCAAGCACATTCCCCAAGATTCCTGAATGTAGTTAGTAGAAACCATTATACATCAGTTGACTGGTGAGGGGCGGATGCTGTAGACTTTTGGGTTTAGGGCCTCGCAGGCTTTAGGGCTTGGGGCTTTGCAGGGTTTTGAGTTGTGGGTTTGGTGGGTTTAGAGATTTAAGGCTTGACTTCGTGAAAACCGTTCAGTCATCCTTCTGGCTCCTTGTAACCGTAACCCTCAGAGGCACTTTTATGCTAGCAACCCTATCTCGCATGGAGGCAAGGTGTCGTTGATAGTGATAAACCCTCGTGAACCCTGAACTACACCCAAACCCCGTCAAGCTGCAGCTGCATGTTGTTCGCTGCCTCGTCTAATGGTCAAAGGAGCATTGAGGGCTGTAGGCAGGTTGTTCGCCAGCCTCAGGGAACGACTCCAAATAGGAGTTGCTCGAAGACGACTGCGGCCCAGAACTTCGTACATCACACTGAACCTGTCGTGCATTGAAGAGCATATTTCCTGAAATCCTCAAACTATAACACTGGTCTAATTATTAAGGCAGCTATGACCTATGCCACCCTAAACCCACAGCTCCAAACCGCAAAGCCTAAAGCCTTCGCTACCTTGACCCCCATAAAACAAAGAACTCCTATTACCCGGATGGTGCAGGTTCAAGGCGGCGTCCTTCGTCACTAACGAGCTCATTGGACCCGCGGTGCCTTGGGACGCATTCCTGCAAGCGTTTGGGGTCTATAGGCTTCGGGAGCATTTCTCCTTGTTTTGAATGGAAGTGGTGTATATAGTAATCAGGGATCCACGTGAAGCCCAGTCGTCCCTGACCCGACATCGGGGTTAGGGTTTAGGGTTTAGGGTTTAGGGTTTAAGGTAGAGCATGCGTGGGAGTTTGCTTTTGCCGACGGGTGCTGCTCGATGACTGGCAGGACAGAGTTCATTTCACAGGGCTCTTAGGGTCTCGTACGGGTGCTTGCACATCCGGAATGAGCGCTAGAGCCAAGGTATCGTTTTATGCTTCGAAGCTCAAGAACTTGATCACTAGTAGTCGACCGCTCGTGGCTTCTTCTGCTTCTTCTTCCAGCATGTCTCGGTCGTTTGTTTAGTCCCGAGCCAGTCAGCCCAGACAAAATGTTAAGTCGCCGTGTAGCGCTAGAAGCCCTGAATAACGGGTCATTGTAGTAGATAGAAACGTTGGAGAACTTCAAAGCTGCACCGCCAAACAGAGCCCAAAGTACAGCGACTGCGGCAGCGTCAGCCTGGGGGACGAGCCAAGACGTGGAAACTTTAGCCAAACTATCACCCAAGGGTCCAAAGGACCCAAGAACTAGGCACTCGGTGTTAGGATAGTAGTTATGTAGGTTAGGATTTTGGAGAGTATATGGTTATTGGGTACCTGGACCCTTGGTTTAACCAAAATATCAGCGATCCCAATCCAACATCGGCCTCTACTGTGGGAATGGTTGTCAAAACTATGATCCTTTTTTGGGTCCCTAATTCTAGAGAGCCACTTCCCATGCTCGCTCGGGGTGGGTGCTTCCAGGCTGTCTTCGTGCTCGCTCACACGTTCTTTTTTGCACGAGTGCCCCCTGCTGCTGCCGTGTTCGACACGGAAACCACACATGATGCCGTGAATGACATGTGTGTTTGCACTAAGCTTTAAGCTGGAGTCTTGCGTCAGTTGCATCACAAGGCATCATTCCCCTGAAAACTCCGAGAAGCGAGCTCAAGCACGCCTTTGGCGCTTGAGAGGCCTGTCAGCACACTGACTGGCTTTCTTCAGCCAGTTCCAAACCATGAAGTAAGCCTGCGATTGCGATCGCTTGGAGGCAGCAAGGGATTTCAAGGACGTGCGACGCTCATCCAGCTGTGCCGAGGGAAGGCTCGGATTGTATGATGCAGCCATCGTGGTCCTTAGCTGATGTTGCAAAAGTGCCTGGGCAACACAACCGTACTTGTGTTGAAAGAATCGCTCTCACAGGTTAGAATGCCGCCCAAATGCTTGTTTTCGAAGACGTGTCCGGCCAAAAGGCGGCCCTGGAAGTGCGGCAACGTCTTGTCGCAATGAACCGTCTGGTGCATCGCGGTTCCCGGCGGCAAAGGCATTCGCTGAAGCAGGTCTTCGGGCAGCGAAGCCGTCGTACTCAGGAAAGCTCTCGAAGCCCTCATCTGCTCGTCGCTCGGCCTTGAAGGATTTCTCTCCTGAAGCGGATGAACAGAGACACCCGGAAAGCCCGACAGAATGCATGTCGGTAATGGTCCGGTCCTCCTCTGCGTCTTCCTCTGCCTGCTCGTCTTCTTCAATCCTTGCAAGGAGCTGCTTGCAAGCCTCCGTTGCAGGATCGTCCAGAAGCTCTTCCCATTCAATCTCGGCCTCGTCAGCGAATATGTTCTTTCTCTCGCTCTCTCTGTCTTTTTCCCTCATTCTGTCTGCCTCTCTCTAAGGCTCTCTCGACTCAGCTCCCAAGGCAAAAGCGAAGCAACATGTGTTGGCTTCTGTCTGCAAGCGGTGACAAAAAGCCTCGTCCTTCTGCTCTTCGGCGGCCTTTTCCTTGGATTTCTTCTTTGCATCCATCTCGTCCAAGCGACGGAGCAGCTTCTGGATGCATGCGTCGCCGCAAGCAGTCTGCACCTGATCCATGCCCAAGATTCGCCGGATCCTCTGAGGCTTCGTTGCGTTTTTGGGCATCTGGATGTTGTGCTGCTGCAGAAGGGAGGTCAGCGATGCATTCGTGCACAAGAGGATCTGCTCAGAAAACACCAGATACTCCATCAAAGGGAGCTCGCGGAGCCCCCTTCTCAGCACCACAGCTGTGCCGATCTTGCCTTCCAAGGCCTTCTCGCAGATGTGCAAGGTGTAGCAAAAAATCTTCACCTTGGATCATTTCAAACACAAATTGCTCAACCGATGTCTTGCGTGCTTGGCGAGAAGCCTCGTCGTACTCAAAGCACAGCTGCCGGACCATGTTCCTGCAGCAGTAACCCCTTTAGTCGCAAGCCCTGAAGCTTGTCAAGAGGCTTGCAATCCCGATGGCCTTCCAACGTCCAAGGTCAGAGCTTTGGTAGCCGACCCCTGCTCGAGGGGGTCCTCCTCTGCCTGCACATTGCAGGGCATTCGCGTCTCGTCCGTCGTCTGCTCCGGCAGCGCACCACGGAACTCGTGAGGCAGCTCTCTCAAGAGAACTGCCTTGGATGTCGGAAGCTACTGATCTGAGTAAAGCAAACCCTTCCGCGATACTTCATCACTTCGTTGAATCAGGCGAAGGCTCGTGCAGAACACCCGGAGTCTTGCCGGTGGCTACGTAGAAATTGTTGTCGTACATCAGCAGCATGCCAGCGGCGAAGCAGTCGCTCGTCCAGAAGCCAGCGGCCGCGACTTCCGGGTTCCTTCCTTGCCTCGGTTCAGTGTTCTAGGAAAAGCAGCAACAGGACAGGGCCGTGAACCGCCGTGTGCATGCGAGCTGCTGCTGGGCCATGCGAAGCCCCAACATGTAGTTCAAGCTGTGCTGCGTGTGGAACCATGCCGAGGTCGCCGGGAACGGCTTCAGAATGCTGTCGAAGGACAGCTTTTGGCCTGTGGTGATCAGTGGTGGCTTGACTTGGAGCTTAAACTCATTCCTATCATGCTTCCTGGACCAAATGGATCAATCATAGCCTGGAAACAAGGAGGTGCTGAGGCAGGGTTGAACACCTTGGGCTTCATGCCGTAGGCTTGGTTGCCCTCCCAATCTTCGCTCTGTACCTCAACCTGCCCGGGCGCCCCATCCTTGAGGCACAACCTGTTCTGCAAGCTCCTCACAGCTACACACTGCAAGTTCGGGAGACTGCCGCAGTCGTTGCGGCCAGACCTCTTGCATGCGTCGGACAAGTCGCCGAAAATCGACTCTAAGCTTGCCGACTGGCAGAACGACGGGAACCAGGCACCAGTGAGGGCGGCGGCTTCGGAAGAGTCTGAGAAGTTCCAGTCGCATTTCTCAAAAGCACCCATCATTTCGCGAAAGCACTGGAAAGTGCAATGGAAACAGTTGGCCTTCAAGAGAGCTGCTCCGGATGCGGTGCCTTCCAGCTCCAGAACCAAAAGCCATTCTTGTCTCAGCTCTGCCAAGATCCGGTCCTTCGTCGCTGGGTCGGAGCACACAGAGACAAGTCCGGCAGCCTTGTGCGGAGCACTCCGGAGGTAGAGAGCGTACTGCTCCAGCTCGTGGACTGCTGCGAGGAACATCCCGAAACCCTCACGGAGGACGGTCCCGACCCTCCGAAACTTCACCCGGAGCTCCTGCTGCCAGGGAATTTACAGTCGCCATAATCCGTGCTCAAATAAAGGTTTGGATCGTATCAGCATAATCTGTGTGCTCCAGCAATGATTTGAATCGCATGATCTGTGATCCAGCCCTGCTTTGGCTCGCTTGCTTGCTGCTCTCGCTCGCTCGCTTCCTCGCTCTCTGTCTCCGTCTCTGTCTCTGTCTGTCTGTCTGTCTCTCACTCACTCTGTTTCGCTCGCTCGCTCGGCCTTTCGTGCTGTTTCTGTTTTCACAATCACATGTGCCCACTCTGTGCTGTGGCATGGGAAGGATAGGGAATCCCATATTCATGCGACACAGCATATATAGATACAGATTACTAATCGCACATACGTATTCGGATATAAATATACGGCGAATAGGACAAGTAGCCTCCTAAGTTCCCCGGGTTGGGAAACTTGGTTTGGATTTAGCAATTTAGGGTTTGCGAAACTGCCTTGTGTAGCTCTGCTGTCGCGGAACCGAACTGCTTCCAAGTCTGTAACTTGGCTTGCTTTCGCCGACTCATCCAGCAATCTGTGCCGATGTAGGTACAGGGATCAGGATCGAGTGTGCCCAAGCCAGATAAAACATAGGCTACTTGGCCCTTAGTGCAGTACCCCCCAAGACGTCTTGCGGGTAGAGTGTTTCTACAAGTGACAAGTAAAACTCATTGGAGTGTCAAACAGATGGAACCAATGATTGCAATCCTGGCCTGATCTCCGCGCATCGCAATGTCTGGGAGCATGCCCAGACTGCTGGCGTTCAAGGCCGTCTCAGCCAAGTTGGTCAGGGTCTTTTCCAAGAATGGTCCATTCATTTTCAGCGTGTGGTCGCGGAGGGCATTCTTGATGTTCGTGTTTTTTTGCTTAGTTTGGATGTGCAGGTTTAACAGAAACGGTGCAGTCAGTGCAGTCACTCTACTATAGCAGTCGAGTCACAAGACAGATACACAGCTCTCTGAAGGGGTCGAGGACATTGCGAGCCACACGGAAGAGGGAGAACATCTCCTCGCTCGTCAAAACCTGCATCGTTGTGTTGCTGCACTGCTTGGTTTCTAGCCACAGCCTAGGATAGGACGTATCATCACTCCAACAGAAGCCTTGACACAAGTGTTCACGGTTTTGTCGTAGGATGCTTCGGGCTGGGTGTTCTTCTCGAAGTCGAAAGGGTTTTTGCCCACCTTCATGTGTTGAAATCTTTGTCAGATTGGGTTCAGGCATCACAGAACAAGTTAAGCACACAGCACGAAGCCGAGGACTAATATGCGACCTCCACGGCACTCCACAGAATCAGCAGAAGGGTGGCACTCATCTGAAATCGCTTTGCCGTGTGTGCAAAGCTGCACCAACGTGACCATGAAAAGGTCTCGGAGTTGAACCTGGAGCACATTGCAATCATGACTGGCATCATCTCATGAACAAAGCACTGGATTCTCACTGGATTAGATTAAGTTAGATTAGAGTGTAGGCCAATCCTGACAAGCTCCCAACCCGCGGTAGAGCCCTTAAACTGGATTCAAGCGGCTTGCAAACCTTGCCCAGGACCTCCATGACCCTCTGGAAGTTCAGCTTCTCGTCCGAGGTTTCCTCGAAATCGTTCCTCGGCTGCAATGTACAGAGGCGGCACACGAATCTGGGTGAATTGACACTTGACTCCTGCTAGACTAGGCTCTCCTTCAGAATATCTCGCTGAAACATTTGCATCAACGGGTCGTCGGGTTTGGCCTAGGTGGCAGGCATCGTAGAGAAGCACAGATTACAGATCCCATCCACAGTACTGCATTTTACAGACCAGTGCAGTTGTTGTGCCGCTTCCATGTACCGTTCTCCTGCTTCCGTCAACAGGTTCCCGAAGCCTTGCGTATGCCAGGGTGTTTTCCTGGCCCGAAAGAGCCACCCGCATAGCGTCGTCATGCCTGAGTGGCAAGAAGGTACTAGTACATCGAGCATCGTAGGGCATAACATTGTCATCTGAATTGAACAACCAAGCAGCGTTTGACGGCTGGGCTGCATGAGGTCACTCTCCCCTGATGTGCGTGTAGTTTGTGCCTGGGCTTCTGGGTCGGGGTCTCGGGGCGGGCGATCGGCTTGTGCAAAACGAAATCTACTGTGCAAGCAAAGGGCAGCTCATCTCGGATCAGCAAAATGTTCGCCCCGGCATGTGCCAGGAATTGGAAGCATGAGTAAAGCGGTGACCCCTGGTCTGCACACAACACAAGCCTGGCATCCTCGGAAGCGGAGTGCATCGGCACATCCCAGCGGCAGTCGCCGCTTTCTTTGTTGTGCACAAAAGAAAAGTTCTCGGAGCCCACCCTGTAGACCTGCCTGGCCTCATTGCAACCTCGAGGAAGCAGAGGTTGCGTGGGAAAAAAGCCATCCATTTCCACACCAACGTGGCTAAGGATGTTCACCACAGCCTTGAGTTCTTGCCTTGATGACAATTTGTCCTGTTTGATCGCGTTGAGGGCCTTGGGCCTTAGGTGCGAATATGCGGAGTGGTGCAGGAAGCTTATAAAAGTTTCCCACTGCATGGCGAGGCTTTCAGATTACATGCGGTCCGAGCTTCAGCTGCTTCTTCAAATCTTTCTTGTGCATCTCGGCGAGCACACTCATTGTTCGAGATTCAGATATCATCGTGGCCACTTTCATCTTGTCATCGCTGCTTGCAGTCGAAGGTAGCAAAGTGCTGAGACGTTGCAGTGTGCCGATGCCGATAGTCTCGGGCATCACGAGGATCGGAAGCCATACCTGGTAACCGGGGAAAATAAAGTAGGACTGCATAGTTAAAACCGAGAAGTGAGAAAGCAACCTTGCGGGCGAGCAGCGTCCATCTTGGCTTTCGGGGAGGCGTCACAAACCAGCCCAACAGACTTGTACTTCATCGACTTCAGTGCCTGCTCCAATATATTATATTGACAGAAGGAAGCAGAACTTGTGTAATATTGGCGGTTATCCGGCCTCCTTCAGATCCAATTCAGTTCGTCGGCAGTATCGCAACATAAAATCCGCAGAGGTCCTGCCATTGCGATTACGGGTCTTGAGGCTTCGGGGGTCAGGGCTTAGTCTTATGGGTTTCAGGAGTATTATAATAATTATGCTTCAATGAATACTTGTTGTCATACGTTTGGGTCTCCTAACGAACCTGAGTCTTTTTTATCACGGGCAGTTACAGGGCTGGCCTCAAATATTTCGAAGGGCACATGTTCTCCAATCCGACGTCTTTCAGGGAAGCATCCATGTTGGATGCACAGAAGCCACCGCCTCGAGAAATAAACCTGTCGACTGCGAGCTGGCATCGAGGTTTGCAATCTCCGCGAAGCAATCTCCCATCCCTGAAGAGGCCGGGGGGACGGTTCAGAGGACTGGTGTGCCAACAGAGTCGCTCACTCAACTTGTCAATGGAGACATGCCAGAATCTAGGATTGCAGCCAAGCATCTTGTTTGCCGGATGGAAGTCGTAATCAGGCTGCATCGGAGGCATATCCGGCTGGGCGATTTGCAATGTTTGCTTCTCGGCCGCCTGGCTTAGAGTGTGGAGCAGGCGTCGTTGAAGCCTGCCCCAGGTCACTTGGTCCTGCAGGCGAGACAAACTCATAGTCCATGTGGAAACAAATTGAGCGAGGTAGCCATTCCTACTCCTGAGAGTGAAAGAGAGAGGCAGACAAAGCGACAGAGAAGCAACATAAATCAAATCAGAGCACTAAGGCAATATTAGAGAAAGTGTGGTCAGATATAGACAAAGGATTTCTCTATGTCCTTGAAGATTTCAGAATGTGGCTGGCGGAAGATGAACCAAGCAGCCAAAGGCAACCGTATGCCTCAACAGACACCCCAACAGACACCTCGAAGGCATCATGGTAGGCTCAGTCTAAGCTTGCATTCGAGGCACCTCTCTCGATATTCTGATCCTCTTTTGAGACCGCTTTGCAAGATTGCCGCCACCTACAAATCAACGAAGAAACTGTTCTCAGCTGAAACTTAGAACCCCATGGATTGGGGAGCGGGGACGAGGGGCCTCTGCATCATGTCCGAGTACTCAAGAAATCCTCGCCAGCGGTCCATGTTGAGGAAACCGTTGGTGATGTCCAAGACACCTGTGCATAGAAGCATGTGCGTGAGTCTGCAAGTGAGCGGGTGTGAGCATGTGTGTATGTCGTATGTACATACATTGTTGATAAATACATGTACGTGTGTGTGTGTGGGTGCGTGTGCGTGTGTCTGTGCGTGTTTGTGTGTTCGTGTGTTATTGCTTCGATGGGACGAGAGGCAGACAGTCTGGAAGAGAGAGAGAGAGAGAGACAGGCAGTAAGACAGACAGAGAGAGATAGATAGATACACACACAGATAGAGAGAGAGAGAGAGAGAGAGAGAGAGAGAGAGAGAGAGAGAGAGAGAGAGAGAGAGAGAGAGAGAGAGAGAGAGAGAGAGAGAGAGAGAGAGAGAGAGAGAGAGAGAGAGAGAGAGAGAGAGAGAGAGAGGGACAGAGACAGAGCGAGACGGAAAGACACACAGAGACAGAAAGAGGGAGAGCGAGGAGGCGAGCGGGGAGAGCCACACAAGAAAAAGCACAGGAAGCACGAGGAACGAGCACAGAGAAACAGGAAAGGACACCCAGTGTTCGAGAGGCCGAGGCCTGGGGCGTGGTTAGGGTTGTTGTGGTCACTCGAGAATAGAATTCGTTTTATGAATAATTTATTAGTACTTATTACAAATTGACGTAATGATGGATTGGGTGCCAGGATTGCATTATCCGGAGCTTGCGACACGGCATGATCATTGCTCCAAGCTTTTTGGTGTCTTGGGTTACAAGACTTCGTAAATATCATAATAGCACCGTCCGTCTAGTGATTCGGTGATAGAGTAGTACTAGGTTTTTGGGCTTTGGGTTTGATTATTCGGGTTTTAGGCTAGACTTGTCATGTTATAGGGGAGCCCTCATCTACTCCAACCAATCAACCAAAGCACTGACATAAGATCTTCGAATCACCATCGATTAATTAAAGCACGTTTCGTGCGTGTCTTCTCTCTCTCTCTTTCTCTCTTTTCCTCTGACCCCTCTGCCTCTGTCTCACTGCAACACCAAGGCTGCAAGCCTAAGTCTTAATCAAGACAGGGTACAATCCTCGTTGATTGGCAGGAGCTGAATCTTCAGCTTTCGCGGGATGCAAGTCTCGAGTAGGACCGAAAGAAGCTTCAAGGCCCCTAGTTGCACGTCTGGTCGGCAGCCTCGCGGCTGCAACACATACGTTGCCTCAGTTGCGATTGATTGTGTCGGTTGCACTGAATGCAGACTGTGGCTGGAGACTCTTATCAGCCAAAGCACTGTGAACACACCAGCAGGGAATGTGAGCCCATCAAAAGGTATCCGAAGCCTCGTCGAAGGAACTTTGCAACCCACACCCCGATAGGATGATTTCCTGATAATGTGGAGTTCCACAGCGACTTTCCAGGCTTGGGCTGTATCCAAGCTCAGTCCGTCTTGCCTTGGATAGAATGCAAGATTTGAATCACACGACAATTAGTTGCTAGTAGGGAGCGAGTCGCAGTTTGGAGAAGAAGTTGGAGAAGAGTTGAGATCTCCCAGTTAGTGCCCACACTTCTTCCGCACGTAGTAAAATCCTGTAGCCCTCGATGGGCTCAGACACCTGCTGTCGGCTACAAAATATCCAGAAGTCAAGTGAATGAATGGAGTTTTCGCAATCCCTGACCTTGTGCAACTGCAAAACACCACGGCGGCTGGCATCTAAGGATTTGATGTACAGAATCTCTGTCTTGGCATGGCCCGGGCTGGAGCTCTGCGGGCTCTGCTGCGACTCGGCCTCATCCATGTGCACCTGAGCCGGTGCCTGCATCGGCTCTTCGCGAAAGACCCTGGGTCTCAGCGGAACCAATTGTTTCGCAGCTACTTTGCGTTGGCCATCGAGTGCTTCCTGCCAGGAAAGCGAATCTGAACTCTTGCGACTGCATGCTTCCAATTGCAGGCATGTGTGTGTTCATGGGTTTAAGAGGGTGGGCTAGCAAATGTTTGAATTCCTTGTGCGTGTCTTCGAGCTTACTTGTTTTGTTGAGATCATGGCAAGTGGCAATGCTTACTTGTTTTGTTCTGATCATGAACACAGTGACATCATTGCCTCTCTCTCTCTCTCTCTTTCTCGACTTTCTTTTGCTCTCTCTCTCTCTCTCTCTTTTTTCTCTTGCCTTCTTTCCCGAGTCTCTGTCCTCCCAGCTCTTCCGGTCGAGCTCTATGTTGCCTAGAGGCTTGTTCTGGAGGAAGCAGCAATCCACAAAGGATATCTTTTGATAAAGCTTCGCGATCAGCTCCGCTCGACCATCCCCATGGCCAAGCCTCAGGTCCACTCTTTGAGCGAGCACGTATAGATTTTAGATTTGAGCGAGCACGTGGATCCCCATTAGAGCATTAGAGCCGCTCCGCCAGCTCGCGAAGTCTGCTGCCCACAAAGGCAGCATCAGCCATTGCCACGGCTCGTCCTGAGATTCGGCATGCATGCTCGCTCGGCTTCGGTGCTTGCTCGGTCCGCGTCCGCGGTCATGGTGCGACACCTTGCGTGCATATAATTTTTAGCGAGCACGTGATCTTTTAGAGCCAGCAATTCCGAGCGAGCACGAAGGATGCTTCGCGATTCGTCCATTTAATGGTGCGGGCCCGGGTCTAATATAGAATCGTGCTCGCAAAGATTTGCGTGCCGACACGGCGCCCGCACGTGACCGGAGCTGCAGCGTTAGCGGGCACGTTACGTGGCGAGCGAGCACGTTACATGGCGAGCGAGCACGTTACCTGGCGAGCGAGCACGTTAACTTCTATCGATCTCGAGCGAGCACGTAACCTGGCACATCGGACCCCATTCCAAAACCCTCTCTTTAAAAGAAGCCTGGGCATTGCCTTCGCCTTTAAATTTCTCTTTGACAGACCCCGGCCAATCCGGCCCCCCGGAGCCCAGGCCTCCCCCGAACCCCGACCCCCGAAACCCAGGACCCACCCTCCCCTTGTAATCTTCTCTTGGACAGAATCTGGCCCCAACCCCCTGTCTCTCTCTGCAGCCCAGGATCTCTGGATGGATCGGCTGCGAACCACCAGGACCAGGAGCACGAAAGCAAATGGGTGGGCTACGTGAAGCTTGGTGACTCTTCTTACACTAGTTAGTAGGCACAGTATGTTGGATTGTTTGCGGCATGTGCCGGGATCGCGGCTCCCGGCCTGAAGGATGAGGTTTCTGGGTTAATTTCAGCGACTGGTAGGATTGCTTGCGGAATGACTTGGCTGGAAACTGTGTTCATGCTGGCTCAACACTCAGGATTATTAGTTGTGGGGTCAGTACTTAGTTTTCGCAGTTTGGGGTCAGGGGCTTGGGGTAAGGTAGCGGAGTTGGTCTAAGGATTGTTCCTTGATTTAATTATAGGGTCCAGGCATAAATTTTAATCGCTCTTCTGTTTAGTTGGCTTGGCTTCGGCTCAACCTCACTGACAGGACATGGAGGCACTGTGAATGCCCGCTTCATTGGTTCGTTCATGGCAAGCCAGCAGAAGCCTGCAGAAATCGACAATATCAACTGCAAAGTCTTTGCTGACTCCGATGTCAGTAAGCAACTGCCCCGGCAACACATGAGAGTGCCAACTCAAAGATGCGAAGCCAGACTAGGCAGGCCTTTTTAAAGTGGCCGAGCACGTCGCAGCCTTCATCCACCACAGCATGTTTGCCAAAACATAAGACCGATGCCTCCCTGTCTTATTAACTATATTAGGATAGAACTACAGTAGGAGCAGCCGGAGTCATTGTGCTGTTGTTTATTGGTTTGCCCACTTTCTTCATTTGATATTACCCAGAGATCTAATCTAGGTGACTGCAGCACGAGTAAGTAAATAAAGTAGATAGAGCCCCTTTAGTCTAGACTTGGGGGGGTTACACAGCACTGTTACTGTTACAATAGCAAGGACCTGGCTACACTCCTAGAGCCCTTAGGAAAGGATCCCAGAGGCATGGTCCTATTGCAAACCGCCAGACACCATGGATCATCATCAGTCCACGGCTCAAAATCATAATTCACCCCAAGGCGAACCAACAGAAGCTAATCAGCCGGTGGCAGGCATTGCCGCCGCCGGGCGGCGTGCTGGAGTCTCAAATGCCTCGTGGATGCAACCAGACCATGGCACATAGAATTGAACACTGCCTCTCGTGCTTCGATAATGTACAATGCTTCACACAGGTAAAGACAAGTAGCTTCGCCATTCTGGATTCGTAGTGCCCAGCGGTCCATTTCCGCCTTCGCCTTCAGAGACATCTTGGCGAATGCCGACTTTCCAGGCCCCAGGTTCTCGGATATGGTGCCTGTGTTCAGACAGTAATCGGTAGAAGCATGTGGTGTTTGTGAGCTGAAACTCAAATCAGGATCTCTGCTAAATCAGTCAAACAGATCTAGCCTGCCATCTTGGAAGCAGCTTGAACATCGTGCACAGACTTGAGCTCCTCTTGGCAAAGCGTGCGAACCCAATTCGCAAGATCGCACCTCAGTATGGGCCAAAGTTGTTGCTTCAAGACTACACCGTCTCGAAAGTACAGCTACCGGTCATTTGATAAATAACACAGCAGGGCACTCCGAAAGGTCAGCAGGGAACGTGCTGACCAGTGCCTTGTCCAGCTGGTTGATCAGGGCCTGCACTTTGGAGGGGAGCTTTGCCGGCTCCTTGTCGTCGGCGGTTGCGAACTCGCCATTGAAGAGGTCGTTGTCGTCATCCTCCGCTTCTTCGCCGTCGGGCGACTCCATGAGCTTCTCCAGGTCGGAAGAGCCGTCCTCGAAGATTGCTTCTGCTTCATCTAATAGTTCGCTGAAAAGAGCACTGTCAAGGCTGTCACGGTCCTCACTCTCGGAAGGCCTCGGCACGTCCTCGGGGCCCAGGTGCTCCTCTTCCGGAGCCGGTTCGGGCTCCTGCTCTGAGTCTTCCTGCTCCTTCTCTTTCTCCTTCTCCTTGTCTTTGAGGGCCCGGAGCTTGGTCTTCTTGTGGGCGGGGCCGACCGAGCTCGACATGCCCGCCCTTGCGGCCTGCTTCTCCACAAGTCTCTTCGCTCCTGGCTTTGCATCCGACTTTTCCTTCGGCTTGTCTGTGGGCTTCTCCAGCTGTGCTTTCAAATCTTGATTGGCAGCCTCTGTTTCGGAGTGCATGCAGTGAGTGCTAAGTTAATCTGGCTGGCAGACAAAGTAACCCTACTACGACCAGACCCAGCCTCGCGGTGCTTCTTCAACATCGGAACAATGTGTCCCTGCACAGCATCTCTTCCACCGAGCTTCCTGTCAAGCTACTCAGACTATGCATTTTGAGCCGTTGGAGTTTAAGGTGGGAGGTCTAGTTTCTTGTTGCAGTCCTGATGAATTATTGGGATAGAAGAAGGTCTAGTCAGCTAGTTGAATAGGTTTGAATTTTTAGTCACCTTGATTGAATACGGGATTCCTTCGTACCACTACGAACTGAACCCTTCTGGCACCTCGCGTGCTTTCGATAGAGAATCCGGAGCACAGCCGCACAATCGGCCAAGGTCTTGGCATTGCCAACGGCGATAGCATTGGGCGATCGTCCCGTGACTCAGCTGGCATTGCTTCCGGTGACTCGTGTTTCGAAGACAGGCAGTTGCCTAGAATCTGTTAGCTAGCCGAAAGCCTCGACAAAACCCGTGACTATGACAACCTTGAAACAACCCCTCAAGCCTAGGAGGCCTCAAAGGTGGGATGAAGGTAGGCAGGATTAGGGGTTTAGGGTTTAGCGTTTAGCAGTTAGGTTGAAATTATGTTAAAGCGTCCCTTCTATTATTATAATTATATAAACTCCTGATTCGAGAGTAATCCCACCTACCTTCACCCCACCTATGGAGTCCTTTTGAACCCCAAACTCCGAAGCGGGGCTGCGGCGAAAGGCCTTCCAATTCCAACGGGCTTTGGGTTTAGGGCAGATCTCCAGGGCGTAAGTAATGTTTAGCTGGGCCGATAGCTAGGATCTTTTGAATGAATTGTCATTGACATTGAATCAAGAACCTCGGTGTCTTGAAGTTACCATAATTATAGGAATCTCTGGTAAATAATAGGGTTACTGTAGTATGGCATTAATAACTATAAGTAATCAACGGATAAGAATGCACTACCCAACCCTAAAATTTAGGACCTTAGGAAGATCCTGGTTCCAGCAAGCGGCGTGCGACCACCAGATCGCTCATCCGCTTGGCCCATATCGTCGATGCCATACGGCCCTGCAACAGGATGCCGGGATGCTATTCTTGACTGGTGTGGTTTAAGGGTTTGGCCATAGATAATATAAGTATTATATAGTGTTCTTACTTAAATAATTTTGGGGTTCGGGAAGTGTGTACTCATTGCACACATTCTTTTATAAGAATGGCTTGGTAACTAAGAGGGCATTGTGTGTTTCTACGTCATTGACAACCGGGCTAAGAACCTCCCGGCTTGTAGCTGTTGTGGTGCTTAAAGACTCAGGTGCCAAGTCCCAGGGTCTCGAGTTCGAGAAATTACTTACATCAACTTATTAGTCGTGGTATGTTAGTTTAATTCATAAGTCAAGAACGACCCGATGCAATGATGTTTACGGTAACCCAGGTAAGTAACTTATGTAACCCAAGCACGAATGACCAAAGCCGACCTAAAGTAGATCTATGGTAACAAACCCAAAGCCCAGCCAGCGAACGTCAAGGCCCAAAGTAGAAGCCCTTGCACCACTCTTTAGTTTGAGACAAAGACACAACGATCCAAAGCATCCCCGGTAGCGTACACAAGCTTGAAGGTCAAGTCTGTGGCCGAAACAACAACATTTTGCACACTGAAGATCCAACATCTCATCCCAGGTTGAACGTCGACATCCAGATATCTCTGCGAGCCTCAAAGGCAAACTTCTCCTTTTCCGACTTTTGCCGGAACCTGCCAGCCTTCTTCTCCCTGGAATGGAGAAGCGTCTCCTGGAGCACATATTGATTCCAGGATTAATTGTCCTAGGCCTAGATCTCAATTAACCTATGTATAAGTAACCCCCTGACAGTAGGTTCCATAGTCATTGAAGCCCAAGACGTGCGAGACTAGTGCCCGAAGGCGTTTCTTCGAACCCATGTAGAGACAGTTACACTTCAATGGGACCCATAGACCCATAGAGTTCAGCAGATTGATTGAGGGGCAGCAAAGCACACACACACACACACAACCGGCAGGCACAAGCACTGAGGCACTTATGGCATCGAAAGTGCAAACCTACTGTCTGGAATCCAGGGTGCGAGGATTTGGCGCGTAATTAGTAAGTCTTGTTCATTCAGTCAGGAGGTTGATCATTGACATAAGTAATTGTCCGCTCAAGTACAACCAAGAGCCCGGTATGCCCGGTACGAAATCATGTTGCAGTCCAAGCCACGAGCTCGCCACCGCATTCATACACATCCGCGGCGTTCACCATCTCAGCGACATGGGATAT